GACTGGGGACATAGTACTTTAGTGACTTGTGCTAAAATAAAAGTAATTTACTTTTAATGTATTTATCTCAATGTGTTCTATGGTAGAGGGGGGTTAAACATACAAGAAAATGGTTTAGAAATAAGCATTAGACAAGTTTTACACTAAATATACCATATTATGTCATTAGGACTCAAATGGCACCGAATAGTAAGAATGACCCTCATACGGTGGGAACTGCTCTATAAATATATTGTATTACATATTTCTGCTTTTTCCTGAGCATGAACGCATTAGAGGCATTCCCGTTATCATGTTGAATATGAATATATAAATACGCACATTCTTTTCCCAGTTCTCGGTTACAAATAAAAAATCAATATGGAAAAGTAAGCTTGTGTTATTATTTTCTTTTCTATGTAGTGTACGTGACAGGTGTGTGACAGGGGCACCACTATCTGCACGCGCTCACATCCGTCAGCTCGTTGAATCCACATGGGACAGATGTTTTCCTCGCGAACGCGCAGCGCAGAGCGCGGCGGTAAGTGCACTTTTGAGCTGCAGCACGAGCACTGGTCTCGTGACCTCCACTAGACTAGTAATTAGAGTCCAGGTGCGGCTATCTGTCACAAAGTCGCGAATCGGAGCCTGATGTGAATATTCCGTCTCCTACGTCTCGTCCAGACTGTGCACAACATCTTTCTGTCAAGTGTGTCAGCTCTGACACAAACCACTTCCGGCAAACACTTTCGAAATAAATCTCATCTCTTGTTTGGGAACTAACTTATAAGGCTGAATTAATTAGCAAATACCTACTGTTGCTCGGTTAAAACTACCTACCTGACCTGGCTTGTTAAATCATGTCAGCAAACTAAGGGGCTAAAGCTACATATTATTATTACACAGCCTATTGTAGCCAATGTATAGGAAAAAGGAAAAACAGTATTTAAATGCTTCTAGGCGAGGGCGGGTTAACGTTAACCATTTCATCTCCCCAGTATAGGTCAGTTTATAACAATGTGTTATAGCGTAGGTTCAGTGGCTTTAATGCTTTAATCTGAAGTGCTACAGTAGCTAGCAACTGCTACTTATCATATCAAAAAAAGTGAAGTAAAAAAAAGTACAATATTACCCTCAGAGATGCTGTCGAAATAGTGAAAAGCACAGCCAGGAAATAAAAAAAGGATGCTTCAAAAAGTAGCAAATCATTTGTGGAGCAGACTGTAGTCTAAAACAATAGCATGATGATAGTTAATTGATATCAAATAAAAAAGTATATGAAATATTCAACGTTACTGTCTATTTTTAACCAAAAAAACACTTTTTTTTTCTCCAATACGGTTCAAAAAAGGCTTTTGTTTTGAAATGTACAACTTCTAATTTCCGGTACGATTTCGCCTGATTGTATGTAATTTGGCGCAACTGGCTCGGCACCCTGTGAGAAGTCTCCCTCCCTCCTTGTCTGTCTCTGGGTCTCTGTCTGTTTGCAAGCCTGCGCTTCTCACCCAGGTGAGACATTTGTGGAGTGCCTCAATGGAACCGCGACCCCCCACCGAGAAGATGACAGAGCCCACACCGCCAGACTCCACCACTGTCCCGGACCCGGCTGTAGTTGTGGACCCCACGGCGGTAAACGGACGGTGCGAGCAGGCGGACTCTATACAGCAGCAGCCCAACACAGAAAATCACGCAGAGGGCTTTAAAATGGACCAAGAGATGAAGATAAATGACAGCATAGACGACAGAGGTAGGCGGCTTGAATTTTGTTTAAAGTTTCTCTGGATGCCCCGTGGCCAAGACACACACCGTGCGTAATGCCGGTGCTTGTTTTACTGTACACGCACTGGAAATACACTTTAATTCATTCAACTGTAGCCTGCTCAAAACATTTCCCTAAATTTTGCCCCCAGATGTTCCACACTGTCCGTGAATCATGTATGATTTCTGAGGGAAAAGGCTGCTTCATAACTGGACTGCGTGGTGACCAATATGCATGCTAAATTATTCACAGATCTGCGTAGTAATGCAGTGCAGAATGTGCAAACAGAGTGTGCAGACATCTTACGTGAAATAGTGGTGCCTGCAGATTCTGTAAATGAATCAGTGGAGTCTTGTCTTTGGGAAGGCTGATGACCACAGGCAGCATTTAAACAGTAGCAGATGTTTCACAGCTTAAACCAGCACACTGTAGCTTTTCCTGTGCATTTTCTGACATTCACTTTCACCAGGTTTGTGAAGACGTTTTGCATCTCATTAATAGAGGCTTTATCACTTCTAAAACAACCAGCGGAGAGCCTCGGGTAACAGCCCCTAGATATAGCTGTCCCCTTTGGAAGTGATCTCAAAGCTCTTTAACCTACTATAGGTCATGTGACGTGTCATGTGAGTCAACGTGTTATTAAAAAGGTGTGGGTCAGTACTCTCACTGGGGCCAACTAAGTGAGACACCATCACCCCATCATCATGTGAGCTACTGAGGCAAGGTGTGAGGGGGGGATTGAAATGCCTGGGAAGGGATCTCAAGACTGCATAAGCCACCACCTCTGTTCTACGCTGCTCAGTCACAGCGGATGTAGATGGCCTCCTTTACTCCTCTCTCAAACATAAAATTCGAACATTGTCATCTTCGAAAGATCGTTCTTTCTTTTTTAAGTGCAGGTGTGCAACTGAGTCTTGTCCTGTTCACTCCAAGTTGGTGTTCAAGTGGTTGGTGGGAGTAAAAGAGTAGGTGCTGGTTTGTGTGAATGGCTTTCAGTGTTGAGGCTTCTGTCCTCCTCAGTGATCACAACACAGTCCAGGAATGATAACTATTGGAGAATCCTATAATATTAGGGTTTTTTTATGTTATACATAAAATAAAATGTACATCACTTGACACGTATCTTAATTTTAAGACTCATATACAGGAGAGCATAGAAGTCTGGGTGTGTGCCATCACTTCAAGTGAAGAAAAACCTTTTCCTTAACAAGCGTGTGAAACAAAAACAAAACATATTTACAGATAGACATAGTTTGTAACTGTATGCATCCAGAGAGAGGACATTCGAGTAACAACACCATCAGTAGCAGATGAGGGCATAAATAACGTTAGTACATGTTACTTTGCAAATTAAGCCACTCTAATGGTGGATAGCAGCGATATCTGGCCTTATAGATCCCGCATAGCAGAGCCATTTTCCCCAGGGGTTTATACATTTCTCATACTCTAAATTCACTAAAAAAAGTAATCTTTTCCATCTTATAAATCTCTAGTGTTACATTAATCCAGCTGTTTAAGGTTGGTGGATCTTGTGTTAGCCATCTTTTGGTCAGTGCCTTTTCACTTTCAGCCAGCAGGACACCAAGTAAGTATTTATCTGTACCCTTTATGTCTGAGGTTATGTATCTAATATTCGTTTTAAAAACAAAACAGAATTCAAACTTGGTTGTTTAGATGGATAGATTGTATTAGCCTGCGAACACTGATCAGTGATCACATGATACACATCATCATGAGTTTATCAGTCAGTTTCATATCATCATCATCAGTTTATCAGCAAGGCTTTGTAGCATCTATCAACTCGGTGCTTTACTTTTCCAGCCTCTAACATGGCTGTTTACAATACTGTCTGCAATAATACAGAGAAAATCAACAAGCAGGTGATCTCCTCTGGGAACGCATTTGGTGAAAGTGGGAAGGAAAAACTCCCTTTATTAGGCTCCAGGCTCAGATTAGATTTTCCACCATATTTCGATTCAGTCTTGAAAAAAGCTCCACTGCACATCACCTGTTTCATACCAAACAGCAGACACGCACAGTCAAAGTGTTCACAAGATAAGTTCATAAGATGATGACAAAAACAAAAGTTTCTTTGTCAGTATATAATTTAAGTGGTGGCGCAATCATGAGCACTGCTGAATCCCAGCAAGAAGGGTCTGAGTTCAATCCCCCATCTGCCTGGGACCTGTCTGTGGGAGTCCTCTCTGGATCCTCTTCTCTTTAGGTAAATTGGTGTAAGTGTTAGCCCTGTGATAGACAGTCCTGTTATGCTTATTTTCAGTTTTATGTTTTTATGATTGGACTCTACTAGTGTAGCTTTGCACTGAGTTAAATTCAAAATAGTCCAGATTAATCTTATACTGGACCTTAATTCAGTCAGTCTCAAACAAGCCGTTTTCGCTCCTTCTCATTAAAGTTTATTCTTCCTTTAAACTAAATTATTTCTGAATAATTGCAGCGTTTTTTGAGTCGCAGGTAGTTTATACCCAGGAGTCTCTCTCTCGGTGACATCCAAGAGTACAAAAATCAGTTTGAAACGGAGCGCTCAGAGCAGTGTGATTACTTGCACACACCTCATTTGTTTTAAAACTAACACGAGCAGCTGTCATTGTAAGATAAGATAACCTTTATTAGTCCCACGCGTGGGACATTCGTAACAGTAACACAGTATATACACTGTTACACTGAGTAACAGTGTATATGTGGCACAACATTTCGAAATGGATTAAAGTTCCACTTTAAAAGCAACTCCAAACCCTGTTTGAATACTGGGGGTCACTGTGCCCTGCGACACTGTCTGCAGGTCTCCTGGAGAGCAGTATGCGTCTGAAGCCTCACGAAGCACAGAGTTACCGCAAGAAGGCTCTGTGGGTGTCCTGGGCGTCCATCGTGGTCACCATCATCCTGGCCATTGCTGCGTTCAGTGAGTAACACATTCCCGTCTTTTCCTTTGATGCCACATTTCTTGTGCGTGTGAAAGATCTAAAGACGAGTCAAAAGAGAGCTTGCTGTTTGGTTTGTCAGTCGAAGGACAGCATTGCTAATTACTGCAACACCCTGCTGGTAAATGTGACACCCAACAGATTAAACATTTGTTCTCAAAATCAAAGGCAACATGTAGAAAAAGCACTTTAGCATGCTAACTCGTGCCAGGATCCTGTTTCGTTCAAACTTTAGCCTTCCACGGCTCTTGTTTCTCCCGGTTACAAAAGCAACGTGGAGCATTTTTGCCGTCAGCACCTTTGTGAAGTCGACCTTCACGCTTGCTGCATTTATTGAAGTTTTGCTTCTTTTGAGGCAGAACATATTTAATCACCCAACACTTTGTGCTAAACCTTTGGGTTTCTCTTTTCATTTATCCCGAGTGTGTCAAGGACGAGACTGCTGGCTGGATAAATAACTCCTCCTGTGTCTCTTTCTGTTTGTCCGGGATCTTATTTGTTGTAGTAGTGAGACACTTTATCTTTCAATAGGAAAAACTGTATTTAAAGCCCGCTTTAGAAAGCTGTTTAGATTTGACAGACTGCGCCTGTGTGTGCCAGAATATGATGTTTGCTTCAAGTGTTTGATTGACATTTTTTATTGGACAGATCTGTCACCTGATGTTCAGCTTACTCCTCCCCCTCTGCAGTAAATGCATTTTGGTGCTTAACTTAAGTAAAGAAACAAGCTTTTTGCATCTGTGATCCTTATCACCTCCACACTGGTTTGTATGTAGAGATATGAGTTTCCTGTAATACTGATGAGGGTGAGGATAACAGCCTCCTTCACCTTGTTTTTCAGGGTTCTTGTGTTCATTAAGCTGTTTCTTCACTGAATATTTTTCTTGTATTGTCTTCATTAGACATGTTTGTCACATTTCTGCAGTCCTGCTGTGGGACTTTTCTCATATTGCCTGCTCTCACGCATAAATAAACATGGCGCCACCCTCAAATCAGCTGCAGAAATGAGCACAGGAAGACACGAACGAGGCCGGCGTAGCAGACGGATTCCTGCGAACAGTGATCTGACAACGAGAATCACGACACACAAACAGAAGAAAACGCTGTGGTTTGGTGATGTGCTGGTATTTGAGATTACAGAGTAACATTAAATATCTTGATTTTTTTTATTTTAATGATGATGATGATGATGATGATCCTCTGGGTACTCCGGCTTCCTCCCGCAGTCCAAGCTTGTTTGGATAATTGGTGATTCTTGGTGGTTGGGTACGAGGATGGGAGTATGAATATTTGTTTGCCTCTCTAATTATCTGTGGCAGTATGCACTGCAACAATGATTCTTCACCCTCAATAAGCATGACACAATACATAAAATCAAAGGTTTATTTATTCAGAAAATGTGCTCGGTATAAACTGAATGTAAACCAGTACGTTTCATTTGATCAGATTCCAATAAATGTAACATTTTAGATTCTACTCATGTGATAAAAATACATGGAAAATGTAATGAAATTAGTTAACATTAGTAGAGTGCAGGGGTGTTCCCGGTGATTAATTTACTGGGCGTTTACACAAGAGAAACAAACATTAGACTACTCGTCTACCAGTAACATATTCCATGTTTTACACTAAGTTTCCCAACATGACATTTTTCAGTAACACAATGATGTAACACATTACGCTGTTAAAATCAGTAATTATATTCCTTCACAAGTTCTTCTGTCATCTGCTTGATGGGTGGATAGAAAAAATAATTAAAAGCACAAAAAAATATAAAATTGAATATAAAAGTTTTTTGAAGTGCATTTTCTAAACATCAAGATGCCAGTGGACTCCTGTTGGGCTTCATGACAGCCTCTGTAATCAAAAGGTGATGGCACGGGGCCTCTGTCTGTCTTTTATTTAGTCTGTGAGCAGACTTCACTATGCTGGTGTTGCTGTGGGTTTGATATATTCCTCTCTGAACGAGGCATAGTCATTGCAGATTTAAGGATGTAGTCTCCAAAACAATGAGTCTTGCAGTTTAACATAATAAATTGGATTTCACGACCACACCTCGATACACACCCCCCGCCCCACTCCACTCTCCGGCTCTACAAACTGTTCTCTTTTTTGTGCCCCACCCTCCCTCCATTTTTCAGTTCATTCACTTCTCATTAGTACACGGGGCCGCCGCCAGTCCCCTCTGAGGGCTTCCATAAACTGCAGCTTCAATTCATTCTCAATCCATCTTCCATTATCTACTAGAAATGCTATCAAACCTGAAATGAGGATGTGGTTCCTGCTGGTGAATTACAAATTATATCACTGGTCAGAGAGCTCTCTCGTTCACTTAACTTGAAATTGATTAATTTAAGTTGTGAGTTTTACAGTTTCGTTTGTTATTTGTGAAGTTATGAAAACGCTAAATCAGTGATTTCAAATAGCGGTTGACAGTGTTGGTCAAGTTACTTGAAAAAAGTAATTAGTTACTAATTACTGATTACTTCTCCAAGGAAGTAATCCTGTTATTTTACTGATTACTTATTTTAAAAAGTAATTAGTTACTTTATTGCTTAGTTACTTTTAAAAACTTTTGAAAACATGATACACAACCTGAACAAAGCAACAGACCTTTAAGCCCAATTCAATTTTTTCTGCATAATCCGTCATATTAAATTGAATCAAATGAAAAAGTCTCCTTTTAAAACTTGTTTTATTGGTTTTAATCTTTTAACTTTATGCACATTACATCAAGCAAAAAATAAATTGTATGCAGCTGTCTTTGACTGGAAGAAATTTGTTTAACATTTAAACCTATTTTCTGCATATTCCAGCATATAAAATAAAATAAGTATGTGTGTTTACGCTCACTCGTTCAAATAGATGCAAGTAAAAGACAGAAAAAAATAAAATCAAAGACTCAGCAGGACTGCAGCCACGGACATTGCACACTCGTACGTCATTGTCATGAGACCCTCTCACAAACAAAAGTCACGGTTTAGTAACGCAGCGTGCTTACGGGAAAGGAACAGTAATCTAATTACTTTTTTTGGAATAGTAATCCCTTACTTTACTCATTACTTGAAAAAAGTAATCGGATTACAGTAACACCTTACTGCCCACCTCTGGCGGTTGATTACCACATCTGTAGAGCAGCATGGATTCGATTCACTCTGGTCTTATTCGTGCTCTGCAGAGTCTGTTTGATCGGTACTGTAAAGAACATCTGTTAGGTAACGATCCACTGCTTCAGTTTTGTGACCACTCATTAAACACTAAGTAACCAGAGTACACTGAAATCAGCCACATTAAAACTACTGACAGGCAGACAAAAATGTTATTCATCTCTTTGAAATCCAATGCTCAGCCGAGAAGCCAGCAGTTCTGGCATTGTTACGTGCCACCAGCCAAACATTATTGAGGAGAAAGTATCTGTCTAACCCTGTGACCTTCCTCAGCAGGGTTTTGAAAGAGACAAAGACGCTGATCTGGTTTCCAAACTTACCAGGTCCCGAAGAACAAGCTCTGGTGCTAATGTGACTGATCACTGTATATTCTTAGCAGTGAGCTCAACTGCACACTTAAACATTTTAACGCACACAGACTGTGTGAGCATTGCACCATTAATAAGCAAATTCCATCTTTTATGTTTGGCTACATGTTTACATTCCCTGGAAAGATCTGTTTTTATAAAGGAGCTTCCTGCACAGGGCAGCATACCTAAACCACACCAAAGAAAACACTGTTAAAAGGAAGAGGCTAAAGGACTCGTGATGCACAAAACACACAGAGAGAAGGCGCAGAAAACATACCAACTAAACCCCAACAGCAGGGTTGCTTACTCAGGTCACCAGCCATATATCTGCAGGTTTCAATCAGATTGGTTAAATTGTTTCTGGAACAGGTGAAAAACTGATGAATGGACAGAAAGTAATTCTTTAAATTATTAGTATTAGGTTAGACAAAGTCACAGTTTAGTTGGTTAAGAGATTTAATGGATTGGATTTATATAGCGCTTTTCAAGGCACCCAAAGCGCTTTACAATGCCACTATTCATTCACTCTCGCATTCATACACTGGTGGAGGCAAGCTACGGTTGTAGCCACAGCTGCCCTGGGGCAGACTGACAGAAGCGAGGCTGCCATTTCGCGCCATCGGCCCCTCTGGCCAACACCAGTAGGCGGTAGGGTAAAGTGTCTTGCCCAAGGACACAACGACCAGGACAGAGAGCCCGGGGATCGAACCGGCGACCTTCCGGTTACAGATACGTGTCCCAACCCCCTGAGCCACGGTCGAAGATTTAAACTAAATTCTGTCTGAAAGTTCGAGATTTAACTAAATTCTGTCTGAAAGTTCGGCTTATTACAAACATTAAGAGGTTAAAAAAGACCCGAAAGAACAGTAGTTGTACATCAGTGCAAAGGCTTCATTAGGATTCAAACCCTGAGGTCCAACAGTGTTTCACAGACTTATCAGAGCTCTGCGGGGAGTCAGTCCACTCCTCACCACCTGCTGCTGTTCTCTGTGAGCTCTACATGATGACAGAATGAAACAGTCTCTGGGTAACATAGATGCTGTAAAACATTAGCATTACTCAAACATGGAAAAGACCAAGTGTGTGTGACCTTTATTGTAGGCAGGCAGGTGCGGCTTTTTAGTTTACAGAAAAGAACATCTCAGTGGGGAAAATGTCACGGGACAGTTCTCAGCTTAAAAGCTTTACTACACTGAGTGAAGGAAAGGTTAACGTTAGACTGGGTTCATAGCAGTTTGGCACCTGGCTGTAGTTACAAATTCACAGTGGCAAAAAATATCAATTGGTTTGGTTGAACTGGTGTTGTGAGGAATGGCTGAAGAGTTCCCTCAATTTGCTAGAGCCAGAAGTCAATAGAACATCAGATTAGAGCCTGCATGAGTTCAACGAGTGGACACGTGTCAACATCAGCTGCTGGGAGGAGACTGTGTGTATGAGGACTCCAGGGATTGAAAATCATTACTGAAGATGAATATTAACATAAAGAGAACTGCTCACAACCGGCTAACACAAAATAAAAAAGTCCAATGAAGTGTGAAGTAACAGATGACAGCGGTGCAAATTCTTTCTTTTGATGTGATTTAGTGCATTATGTAAAATACAAAAGTGAGAGTTTATTTGAAAGTGAACTGCATGTTTGTCAGGGTTTGCTTTTAGATCTCCAGCTCATGTTTTATTATCAAGAAGAAACTTGTAACTGAGCCACTTGCTGCTGCTTTAATGACAAGGCCTATGCATTGGTACACATGGGACAATCAGACGAGCGCCATCACTGCACCAACTAGAAAAAACAACTTGACAGTGAAGCGTTTCATTGATATGCATAAAGAGCTCGGATAGCGTTTTATCCTTTCTTCCCCTGCTCGTCTTGTTAGATGTGACAAGAAGTAAGGAAGAGGGAGAGTAGAGTAGCACTGTGCGTACATGTGTGTGTGTATGTGTGTGATAGCCTGACGTGCTGCAGGTCCGTCCCGGCTGACACCCACCCAGCTTTCTTGGGAGCCAATTAGTCATCGCTGGGCTCGGCTTTGACGACCGCAGAACCGCAGCAGATTCATTTATACACAACTTGTTCTCTCTGCGGCTAATGAAGGTGCTAGAAAGAGAGGAAGGGAGGACAGAGAGGAGAAGGGAAGAGGAGCAGACGATATATATTACAGTCAGATGTGTGGGGTCATTATCACAAAAGAAATCTTTAAACTGACATGGTAGAATGAGAGGAGGCTGCACGATGAAGGAACGTGAAGTCTTTTCAGCTATCTGGAGAATTGAACTTGAAAAATAGATGCTGTCAGCTCTGTTTCGTAGTCCTAGATACAAATCTGCTCCCTTGATGTTGCAGCAAATGGTTTTGGATCAAGCTTGAGTGTGCAGGAATGCATTTGACAGCTAAACTAAGGCACTTCTGTGTAATCCTTGCCTTTGTTTCTATCTTTTTGTACTCTCACATACAGTGGGGCAAAAAAGTATTTAGTCAGCCACCGATTGTGCAAGTTCCCCCACCTAAAATGATGACAGAGGTCAGTAATTTGCACCAGAGGTACACTTCAACTGTGAGAGACAGAATGTGAAAAAAAAATCCATGAATCCACATGGTAGGATTTGTAAAGAATTTATTCGTAAATCAGGGTGGAAAATAAGTATTTGGTCAATAACAAAAATACAACTCAATACTTTGTAACATAACCTTTGTTGGCAATAACAGAGGTCAAACGTTTACTATAGGTCTTTACCAGGTTTGCACACACAGTAGCTGGTATTTTGGCCCATTCCTCCATGCAGATCTTCTCGAGAGCAGTGATGTTTTGGGGCTGTCGCCGAGCAACACGGACTTTCAACTCCCGCCACAGATTTTCTATGGGGTTGAGGTCTGGAGACTGGCTAGGCCACTCCAGGACTTTCAAATGCTTCTTACGGAGCCACTCCTTTGTTGCCCGGGCGGTGTGTTTTGGATCATTGTCATGTTGGAAGACCCAGCCTCGTTTCATCTTCAAAGTTCTCACTGATGGAAGGAGGTTTTGGCTCAAAATCTCACGATACATGGCCCCATTCATTCTGTCCTTAACACTGGATCAGTCGTCCTGTCCCCTTGGCAGAAAAACAGCCCCATAGCATGATGTTTCCACCCCCATGCTTCACAGTAGGTATGGTGTTCTTGGGATGCAACTCAGTATTCTTCTTCCTCCAAACACGACGAGTTGAGTTTATACCAAAAAGTTCTACTTTGGTTTCATCTGACCACATGACATTCTCCCAATCCTCTGCTGTATCATCCATGTGCTCTCTGGCAAACTTCAGACGGGCCTGGACATGCACTGGCTTCAGCAGCGGAACACGTCTGGCACTGCGGGATTTGATTCCCTGCCGTTGTAGTGTGTTACTGATGGTGACCTTTGTTACTTTGGTCCCAGCTCTCTGCAGGTCATTCACCAGGTCCCCCCGTGTGGTTCTGGGATCTTTGCTCACCGTTCTCATGATCATTTTGACCCCACGGGATGAGATCTTGGTGGAGCCCCAGATCGAGGGAGATTATCAGTGGTCTTGTATGTCTTCCATTTTCTGATGATTGCTCCCACAGTTGATTTTTTCACACCAAGCTGCTTGCCTATTGTAGATTCACTCTTCCCAGTCTGGTGCAGGTCTACAATACTTTTCCTGGTGTCCTTCGAAAGCTCTTTGGTCTTGGCCATGGCGGAGTTTGGAGTCTGACTGTTTGAGGCTGTGGACAGGTGTCTTTTATACAGATGATGAGTTCAAACAGGTGCCATTCATACAGGTAACGAGTGGGGGACAGAAAAGCTTCTTACAGAAGACGTTACAGGTCTGTGAGAGCCAGAGATTTTCCTTGTTTGAGGTGACCAAATACTTATTTTCCACCCTAATTTACGAATAAATTCTTTACAAATCCTACCATGTGGATTCATGGATTTTTTTTTCACATTCTGTCTCTCACAGTTGAAGTGTACCTCTGGTGCAAATTACTGACCTCTGTCATCATTTTAAGTGGGGGAACTTGCACAATCGGTGGCTGACTAAATACTTTTTTGCCCCACTGTACATGCTCACCTCTGTCACTGCAAGTCATTTACGTGTAAGGAGTGTTTACCTCCTACTTTTGCCTTGTTATGTCAATTCTGGCCGATGACTGATACTCTGTGCCCCTCCCTTTTTATTTACCTTAAGCAGCTTTCAACAGCTGCCAGGTTCTGTTTGCTAGATCGTGTATTGTTGACACATGGAGAGATGAGGCCCACAAGCTCTGACTTTAAATATATCTCCCCACCCTGGATGTTTTAAAAACATGCGAATGCTGTATTAGCTGAGTCAGAGACTGTGTTTGTTTTTGGTGGTATGGTTCTGTTCTGGACCTGCTTTGCAAAGCCAACATAGAACACAGCAGACATCGATTTAACAATGATTAAGTTAGAAGTAGAATTAATGGAGGAAACGGCGTCGATGTGGGTTGCAAAGAGGCTTGCACTGAAATCCGCTAGCTTGGATGTGGCTTTCCAAAATTAAAGCTACACTTTATTTTTTTATTTTCATCCTAATGAAATGATTAAAGTATAGAGAGGTGAAATAATGGGAGCCACTGAGAGACAACCTTTAAGTATCCTTTGTGTAAAAACAGCTGCTTTAAGTGAAATAAAACTCAAAAAGAGCAACTAAAAGCGTCAAATCTTCAATTAGTACAGGAAATATGGAGCTTAAAATTTCAGTCTGGACCATTTGACTCCAAAGAAAATTGATATTTCCATCTGCATTAATTTATATTTGTAAGGAAGGCCAAGTTCTAGTGAGCAACAGATATGAAAGCATGAAAGGAAGACCTGGGGTGCAGGTGGGTTGCAAAGGAGATTGCAGATTTCTTTTTTCTATATTTTTATTACTGCTTAAATTTATTTTAATTTGATTACTAAGATGCATTTAATCATTTTGATGTGCTTGCTTTTGTAAAGTGCTCTGGTCATTTGATGTATAGTAAATTCATAAAATGGGAGTGTGGCGAGCATATGTAAGGTTATAACCTGTCAGGGAGCATTTGCTTCAACTGAGGGCATCATCAGTAAATACATGCCAAACTGCATTAGTTATAATGCAGATTGGAGGCCATACTTTTAATGTGTGAGCCATGTTCAGTATTTTTTGGTGAGCATAAAGTTACACACCAAGAAGGAATGACAACAGGTCTGCTGCTGATACTCTGCATCTCTGTCAGAACAGTATCCTTTCCAATCATTTGTATTCAAGGGTTGGCGATGTTTGCTTAACTGCGTGCAGGAGAATGTGGATGCAGCATCTGTTTCTGTTCTCGTTTCAGTCTGAGCTGTTGCAAGCGAGCGGGTGATTGTGCCTTTAGCCTAGAGAGAACAACCGAATGTAGATGAAACAATAAGAGGAAAAGTGAAGATGGATGAGAGGGGAGCTTGGGAGGCTGGAGGGGAAAATAAAGGGAGCTCAGACTGCAAAAAGGGATAGGATTAAGAAAAGATTTTTGCTGTTTTTGCAGCAACTAGAATGTGTTGCTAAAGGGGAAAAGAGAGAAAGTGATACCACACAGCGCTGTGTTTCTGCATGCAGGGCTGAGGCGAGCTGCTAGCCCCCTGTGAGTCTTGCTAAAAATAAACGTGGGAGGAGAGGAATCCTCCTGTCTATCTCTGTGCATCTTTCTCTGCTTTGTCTCTTCTTCCTTCTCTCCTCATTCACTCCCGTTGCAGGTGTGTGTGGATGCATATAACTGTGCTGTTTAGTGTTTGTTTTGACCATTTCTACAGCTTAGTTAATCCAAATAAAAAGGCAGATGTTAAATTAACCAGTCGAAAACGGTGCTTGTTTTTCAATCCAGCAGGTTCTCTGCAGAAACTTGAAATGATTATAATAATAATCATTGCTGCAGTTAAATAGACTGGAGCAAAAATCAGATATCTCTGTTTACTTTAAATGAAACGATCACAGACTGACTCTGTGCTTACAGCAGCTACAGGCACTCAAACGATTATTTCTGATGTGAAGATGAACGTGAACAGTGCAGTAAAAGTTTTTCTCTTTTCTCTTTAGCTGTTTCTATGATGCGCCACAGTGCTTCAGCTTTTGGATTTGCCGTAAGTCCAGAGTAAACACTCTACTTCATTAAAAGTAGAAATTGTAGTGATAGAATTACCAATTACCAATGTTTACACTTTGCAGTTTGATGCCACGCTGGATGTGTTGTCATCTGTGATTGTATTGTGGAGATACAGCAACGCCGCAGCTGTCCACTCAGCGCACCGCGAGTACATGTAAGTATGATCACCTTTCACCCCGATCTACTCTGACCCGGGCTAAAATCCCCTTTATTTATAATGCTCTGCATAAGCCACAGACGGTATAAAACATGGACGTAGCTTCTGGGTCAGAAAAATGAAGCCAGTGTGTCTTAGCCACCATATGGCTACAGGTGTTGCTGCAAAAAGGCATTAGGTCTCTGCCCCCTCGCATCACCAAACACAATCAAAACAGAACTTCAGAGAGCAAACGGACGGCATCACGGTAGCGACATCAATCCTTTGTACTGTCTGTGGCATACACGGTACTTTGATTTAAAATGAAAACTTCCTCCATCAAAGAAAGCATACATATCCCAGGCAGAAAACTTTCCCCAGCCTGAGATTTTAATGCTTTTTTTGCTGGAGGAAATTAGATCAATTAAGTTTTTAGTAGTTTTTATTACTGACATGTGCTTTATCAGTCTCCTTAGCAACGCTAACATTTGTTTGTGATCGAGGAATCATCTGCCAGGCTGCTCCTCGTACATTTTTCCTTCACCACCAGATTTATTTGTAGCGAATGGTCTGAAGCAGTCAGAAGGTCTTAGCAGAAACATTTTCATATACTCAGTCTGAACAACTGTTGATGCAATAACCAGCAATTCACTGTAAAGTGCTGCACTGTATAAATATCAGATTGGCTGCACAAGTAAAGTTGTTTTGACCAGATATGATTAATCTTATTTTTATATACTTAGCTCGGGTACTCGGGAACTGCTGCTTTGTGAGTTGTTGTTCTGCGCTCACAGACGGGACAGAGCGCGCAGCAACACACCTAATGATGTTTAAAAGATCCCAAAGCGCAAGTGCATCTTTTCAGATGAACTGCAAAAGAAATTTCCCTCGTACCGACCCAGTACTGGTAATTTTTCTTATGCAGATGAGGCCTTATTTCTGTACCATTATTTAATTCCAGAGGCTTTTAAGTTATTTGTTTGCACTTGTTGACTTGTAAAAGCTTATATGACATTTTTGTTTCACCATTCATTAACCGCACAGAGAAGGCATCGTTTAAATATGTTAAATATGTTAAATATGTTAAATATGTTTCTTTAAGCAAGTTCTTCATGACTGGGCCAAGTGTCCTCTTTTTTGGAAATCAAAATATGGTCACCCTACCATAGGTGTAGCTACACTGCAGAAGCCTCGGTATGGTCTCATATATACGACCAATAAGACAAAAGAAGTCCAGTAATGTGATGAAATTTATTTCAGTGTGTCTACAATGGCCTGTGTGAGCGAGGGGAGAGATTGTGTGGTCTGCTCTGTCCAGCGGAGAAGTGTGTCAGACAGCATGTCTCTTCAGCTCCGTCAAGCTCAGCCCAGTGGGACCGATCACAGACGAGCGCCTCACATCTTATCTCTACCTGGCTGAGAATAGAGTGTGTGTGAGAGGAGGCTGCCCTTTCAGAGCCTGTTGAATGGTCAGAGTGCTGGCAGCCAGCAGGAGACTGAAAGAGAGAGACGAGCCAGTCATCACTTTACTTCTGCTCTGAAATAGTTGAACGGTGTTGCACCAGTTCATCCAGCATAGGATGGGCTGCAAGCAAAGCAAAGAAAGTAAAATCTTTAGGTTTGTCCGTACTGGCGATTAAGTGAACCTTTCACTCCCCGCGTACACACAGACTCACACTTAACAGTGGAGTTGTGTCACGGTCTCACAGGAGTTGCTAATTGCCTTAGAGACGACAGATGAGCTCATATCCTCTGGAGACCAGACACTGAAGTGCATGGAAAAAGATTCAACAGCAAAGCATCTGCTTTAACATGAAAGCCATGAGGAAGCTAATAAAATGATAAATAATAGAATTGTTATACTTGAATAATTTTATATTCTAGTTGTTGTGTCAGTGAGTTCTCAGACCACACCCATCTTTTTAAAGATCTATTTAAATATTTAAATAAAAATACTTCATAGGAGGAGATATAAATGTGTTGCGAATTGAAAAGAAATTAGGACATGAATCTAAGTGTTCTCCAATAGTCTCTTAGCTCTGCTTTGTCCCGTGTGCATCCATTTACATGATAAATGGAAACAAAAATGGCATCTTCCTTAATCCCCAGAGTCTGAGCGTATCATAGCCAACCAAGCTGTCTTTGTGTTGCTCTTTAACTAACAGCTGTTTTTGCTATCCATACAAACTGCTTGTGTGTGTGCATATTAGTTAATGGAAATATGTTGCGGTAATGAGTGAGTTTCAGCTCTTAGATACACTTTTAACTTAAAGAGCTATGTTAGCTATGTCCATTTGTACCCTTTATGCTAAGCTAACTAGCTCCTAGCTAGCGACATTGGTCGCCTCGACGACTCTCTGCCAAAAAAGCTGTACAGTTTGCTAAACACCAACACACAATTTTCAATTTTCACCAAAGTTGTTTGCAGATCAAATTTAAAAATTTTATGGTTGAGGGTTTTGTGAGTTTATCAGAAAGAACTGCTAAATTTACCAGACAGACAACATAAAATGATCAGAGTAACAGGAAGTGTGCGACTAAAGACCTGTCTGATTAATTCCAGCTGTATTTTTAATATAAATATTTGACAGCTTGCTAAACCATCATGTGAAAACATCTACACAAATCCACTTGAAAGCGGTCTTCATTGTGTCATTTCAGCACTGCTAAATGGAGAATCTGGACAAAGTTGAGGAGCTGCTCAGCCAGTAATTGGCTTCGCTGAGAAGACAGCTTCCTCTTGATCACACGCACACTCACACAGTCTATGACAGCTATACACAAACACACACACACACACACACACACACACACACACACACACACACACACACACACACACACACACACACACACACACACAGAGACATGTTTCTGCAGACATACTCTGAAACAGAAAAATGAGAATCATCCGAGAGCAGCAAAATCTAAATATAAAGCTATTTTCTGTTGCTGTCTTATACACAGCCACCACAGCGTGTTTGATTTGGGAGTTTTGTACACTGATTGGCCTTCTTGACACAACCCCAACAGGGATTTGTGGCTCTGGCTGGAATTAAACCTGTGACTTGCTTGCCACTATAGTACTTGTACAGATGCATAAAATATGGATCCATGTATTTACACCTTAACTGTAGCCTGGCGTCTTCCTCCTGCTGCAGTGTTTGTTTGTTAGATAGCCAGCGGCTTTGAGCAGACTGAGTGAGAGGGCTACTGATGCACAACGAGAGCCTCTGTGTTCTTTTTCTTAGTTTTTTGATCTGTCTGGGAATGATAGAGAAGGTGCGGTTGAACAGCAATGCCCAAGTACCGAGTGGTTGCCAAGGTAACAAGCTTTAGGTGTCAAAGTAAGACAAATTGGGGACTTTTGTTTTCCACGTGAAAACACAAATACCTCCACTGAAATCACCAAGGTTAGAGATGCTGTTGTTGTGAGCGTGTTGATATTAATAAGTGATCCACGTCTGTGCATTAAAACAGAAGCTGCATGCAGCCGAACACTTTGCTGGTCTTTTTGCTGTTCGGTTGTTCTGCTGTGGAGTAAACACCAGCTCGGAGCGATGATGTCATTTTCCAACCACAGGAAGCGATAGAGGGCTGTAGTGGTGGATACGGCGCTCCATTGTGTGTGTGTCTACATGTGTTCGTGCACCCTGCTTTGGACTTCCCGGAGTGATGTTGGGTTGCCTTGGTTACCTCATCCGGTCAAAACCCAGGATGCTAAGTGTGGCTCAAGAGCAGCCGTCAGATTTGAACACATACACTTGGGTATTCATCCATGACCAGGACATATGCTCCGATTGGTTTTTGTGTCCCTCTAGACTTTGTTAATTGGGTAAAGGTGCTTAAAGGACATCTGCTGCTTCCAAATGAATCCTCCGGATCACTCTGAATAAATGTTATCTGTCATTGAGGATCGTTTAGGGTAGCAGGAAGCTGTAGCTTTATCTAACACTCTACAGTTATCATAGAAGTTGATGCTTCCATGTTCAGAAAAACATCTACTACTTATACTTGGACTTTAGTTTTAGTCAGGACCAGTATTTGGTAGTATGGCTCTAATCGGGGATACCGTTTTCATACTTGGAATGCATGCAAAGTCGGGGAGGAGGAGAAGCTTGAATGGATGAACCGTGTAAAATTGCAAAATCACTTTTCTCCATCTGATATACAGAAACTCCAGCTAAAAATGTCTTTAGATGAGATCAGTCCAGCCATTATTTCCCACTTATCCAGTTCAGGGTTGCAGGCGTACTGAATCCTGAGCTGTTACGGAGTTAGAGGCAAGGCCAACCCAGAGAGCCCTGCCTGTCTTTGACTGTAGAGGAGAGCCCACATGCACCCAGGAACAACACGCAAACTACACACAAAGTCCTCAGACTACAGCTCTTTAGATGAGATGTTAGATTCTGGGTTTTTTGGCAAGTCAAAATTATAAGCGAGTCATCGATTTTATGGTATTTTTAATTTGGTAGTTGTTTTGATCTGTGTTGTTCAGCACTTTGGTCTGCCGGGTGTGTTCTTAAAGTGCTATACAAATAAACGATGATGATGATGATCGATTGGAGGTCTCCTGGAGAAATTTGAATTTAATACCTCATTGTTTGTGAAATCGTGGCTCGAGCCCTGCAGCCATGCAGCACCACCTTTATTGTTTGGGTTGGCCGTCGCATCAGGATCTGCTCAGAAAGAAAGAATGAAGAAACTAAAAACACTCTGTTTGTTGGTTACTGATCGCCTGTGTCTTCTTTCCTTTCCTCTGCAGAGCTTGTGTTATCCTGGGTGTGGTTTTCATTCTGTCCTCCTTATGCATTATGGGTAAAGCCATCCACGATCTGGCCACCAAACTGCTACCAGAAGTGGTAAGAATTCATCCATCACACTGTTCTGGGTTTGGTTTTAGACAGATTTGTGAGGATTATAATCGGACTGTGAAAAGAGACCAATTCTGCAGAGCACCATGCTTTAATTGTTACACTTATTGCACAAAAAGCAGCGGATGAGACAGGATAATAGTAGATTAGTTTACTACCACATGCTGATTTTCCTACATGGCAGGCAGGAAATGGCTCTGGCTGAGATGCAGGGGTCAAAACTGGATTCAGACAGAAGATGGACGAGAGCTTTGGATTAAGCAGCTTCCATATGGGATGCATAATGTTCTCCATTTAACATTCAGGGGAAACCCCCTAAACATACTAACATACTGCACACCATGGCAGCTGTATAACCCACAGCCACGTTCATCTCCCTGAACTCAGGCTGCCAAAGGTTTAGTGTGTAATCAGATTTTTCTGTGGAATTTGCAGTTATTTTTAAAGCTTTGGCAGATAGTAACCGCTCCTGTGTCTGGCCAGGACCAGGGCTCTGCTGTCCCTGGTGTAATACAGACAGCGAGCCAGAGACGGGGATTTCATTTAGAAGCTAAGAAAAGACCAGCTGACTTTGCTCCCATATCTAATAATATCTTTACAAACAACATGCAGGATGTTTATTTGCATGAAGCCGTGTGTAGCATGGCTGACTCTGACTCCATCTTTGAGTAGTGGATCTGATTGGACGGCATACTTTCATCTTTGGTTGGTAGCTCAGGATGATGAGACCAAGACACAAAGAGGAGGGTGTTATGAACACAGAGATGCTATTGAAGATGAAATGTTAGGGACTCAAAAATGTATTAAGATCGTTTGGTTTTAAATATTTTCTTTGCTTCAGTGTTGCAGTAGATGCTGTGTGGTCATGTAGACGATGCAGTCAGACACCGTGTGTTGCCAAGTCTACAGCTCTGATTTATGATTGTCTTTTATTTCCAGTGATCAGGTTAAAAATAGACTTACCTTTATTAATGTATTACTTTCCTGTTACTCTATATCACCTGTGCAATTGCAAGGTAACAATGTAACAAATACCTGTTCTAAAGAAAGGAGGAGGAGATGCGTGTGTTTTCTCTTTTATGTCCTTTCAGCACCTTTTACACACGAATGTTGTGATGACAGATTCTAATGTAGGAATCGTCCAATGCTGCTGAAGTAGTTTTGTGTATTTTGGCAAACATGAAATAATTTATGTAGGTAGGTGATAGTGAATGTTAAAAAAGTATATTTCACTGCAGTCCACACTGTGTGCATCTGAAGTGAGATCATTTTTATGGTTAAAATATTCAAGACTAATGTGACTCTAAATGTGCACTTTAGTCACTTTACTTTATTCTCACAAAAATATTTCAGAATCAGAATTAGAGTTTTTCCCCCCCTGTTATTACTGTCTGTAAGTGTGTGTGTGTGTGTGTGAGAGAGAGAGAGGGGGGGGGAAGAGAGAGTGTGAGTAAACCAAGTGTAATAGTGACGCTCACAAACCTCACGTGTGAAGACTCACAAGCTTTCACACTTCTGCAAATAGCGTTTTCACCTAGTTGCCAGTCAGTATCATCCATCAGCTGCTGTTTAGTATTTTTGCTGCCTAAGTCATGTTCATTCAGCTTTGTCTGTGGTGGATCTCAGACGCAGCAGTAACTCGTGGCTGGTATGAGATAAATAAGAAATATTAAAAGTAGAAGAGATTAAGAATAAAATTATGGACACGAGTTTAATCCATCCTCTTAAATTCTGAATTAATAAAATGTGTAATGCTGTTATGTACCGTAGCCACTGTGTAGCCACTTCATTAGGTACACTTGTTGATGTGCTCATTAACACAAATATCTATTTAGATAATACATTGGCAGCAACTCAGTGCATTTAGACATGTAGTCATGGTTAAGATGACCTGCTGAAGATCAAACTAAGCATGAGAATGGGGATGAAAGGTGATTTAGTTGACTTTGAAAGTGGGGTGGCTGTTGGAGCCAGATAGATCTACTCGGATTTTCCCGCGCAGCCACGCGAAGGTTTAAAGACAACAGTGCAAAAAAGAGAAAATATCCAGTGAGCTGCAGCTCTCTGGGTGAAAAGGCCTCGCTGACAGACTGTTTAAAGCTGCCAGGAAGCAAGCTCTTGTTACAACCAAGGTATGAAGAAGAGCATCTCTGAATGCACAGCACGTGGAACGTTGAAGCAGATGGACGAGCAGCAGACGAGCCGCATGCTGCTCCTGTCAGCTAAGAACAGGAAACTGAGGCTAAAGTTCAGACCGTAGGACCCAAATGTTGCCTGAGCTGATGTGTCTTGATTTCTACTGCAACATTTGAATGGGAGTTTTATTAATGGTTCAGACTTCTGGTGGTGGTGTAGAGTTGTGGGGGATTTTCTTGGCATACATTCGGCCTCTTAGTACCAGCTGAGCATAGTGCTGTTGCTGATCATATCCATAACTTTATGACCACAGTATTTGTTATATAGCACGTGTACCTAATAATAGTGGTCAATGAGCGTATACGTGTGTATATGATGTTAACATAAATGCAGGTTGCCTGTCATGGTGACATCTTTACCAGCTTACTTACTCACTAACTCCTCTGTGTGCTGTGTGTGTGTTGTTCCACATGTGAAGCTAACCGAGCTGGATGCTTTTCAAGGAGACGAATCACATTGTTGGATCAGCTGCTGAGCAAAAGAAAGATTTTCAGATAATCTCCACAACTGACTCAGTCTCAAAATCCAATTCGTTTTTGAAGCCCTTTACAGCTTTATTGACCTAACTGTGTTTTCCTTCTATTCATGTGTGGCTGCGGCGAGGGAGAGAATGGCCTGTCGCGAGCACTAAAGTGGAAACAAAGGCAGAATGTGAGAGTGCCGAGACAGACAGATTGTGTTTTTCTGAGTCGACCCGCTCCTCTGCTGTCGCACACTTGGTTTCTACCAGACTGACTTCTGGTGCATCACAGTTGGAGATCTAAAGTTTGTGCCTCGCAGCCTCCCACCTTGTGCCAGTGTTGAAAAAATAAGATTTATTTTCACTTCCGTCCTCTCTAGAAAATGTTAATAAGGAAAGCAGCTGCTCAGGTACGCCAGGGTTGGACAGAGTGGGAGGTGTGAGGTGTGTGGAGGAGGATGTTTGGTTTGACACCTGACTGTTCCTGCTCTGCAGGTCCTTTGTGCCCAATTAATGTCAGTTAGCATCCAAAAACAAACCGTTCTCTGCATGACACAGATTCTGTGAAAACCTTTTAACTCCCAGCAGGGCTTTTCATATTGCAAATTAATTCTGACCTCTGACAGCTGAGAGAGTCTTACATTCTTGAGGTTTATGTAATCCTTTGCAAGGCCACAGAATGACGTTTAAATACAGCACAAAGACAAACTGCCTTAGTTACGAAGTTAAAAGCAAAAGCAACCAGTGCAGTCAGATTTGGCACCCAATAAAAATCTAATTGTTCATCAGCTGAATATTAACACTTTCTGTCGTGTTTGTTTTAATCCACACACAAATTTAGTTGTAGTTTTATGACAAGCTACATGCTGACATTGAGCCTCAGAGGTGCAGGCTGGCAGATTCTGCACAGAGATCTATAGTAGTTACACGCAAATGTCAACTGCTGCATTCATATTATGGGCAGAGGCTTTTCTCTCTCTGTGTGTGTGTGTGTGTGTGTGTGTGTGTGTGTGTGTGTGCGTGTGTGTGTGTGTGTTGTGTGTGTGTGTGTGTGTGTTGTCGTGTGTGTGTGTGTGTGTGTGGTCAAAATGCCAGCCTGCAACAGTCATGGGAAAATTGATTATAAGGTCACTGGGGGATTCCCCGTGATAACAGAGTGAGTCGCAGCATGCAATCCTTCATTTCAGCTGACTGGAAACAAAACTTTCCAAAATAACCAAATAAATGATCGACAGTGTGTGCCTCTGTTAGTACATTCACTCTTCTCAGCTCTTGACCCTAGCTACATCTATACCTAAATGTGTGTTTTTTATTGCAGTGATAGATATAATGCACTGTCATAGACTCTATATAAAAGATGGAAGTAGCTTCTGATTTTAGTCAAAAGTCCTAGACTTGTAAATAAAATGTCATTTCATTTTAGTCATACTTGAGGCATCTAAACATTTTTTTTTAGTCTAGTTTTAGTTGACTAAATAGAAGATTTTCACAGACTAAATCTAAAGTTGATTCAGCTGACTAAAACATAAAATGTAATCAGCTACATTTTATATTGTAGCTGACTACAATATAAAACCAATTGAATTGGTTTTTAATTCAATTCAATTTTATTTATACTTTATATTGTAAGGTAGACCCTACAATAATACATACAGAGAAAAACAATCATATGACCCCTGTGAGCAAGCACTTTGGCAACATTGGGAAGGAAAAACTCCCTTTTAACAGGAAGAAACCTCCAGCAGAACCAGGCTCAGGGAGGGGCGGGCATCGGTTAGGGTCAGAAGTGTCTCTTCCTTGACGTCAAATGTGAAATGTATCCATGTGTCGTTTGCTCCTCTTTTCCTCCCAAACTTTGACATTTTGTCGAATTTTCATGAGATAAAGGGAGCACGGGAGCTAGTTGTACTGTATCCTGGAGGCAGATCAAGTGTGCACATCTGACCTTGCTGCACAAGATTACTTGTGATTGGATCACTTCCAAACTCTTCCCGCCTTTCTACACAACTAAGTTCTGATCTCGTCTCTCCAGAACGTTTTTATCTAGTTTTTATTCACTGACAAAAATATGGATACGTTTAATAGTTTGTAGTTTTTGTCCTTGTGGGTTAGTTTTGTTTTGTTTGTTTTTTACTAAATTATCGTCTCGTTTTTGTCAGGAAAAAAAAGGTTGTTGAGAGAAAAAAATAATTGTGAGTTAATTTAACAAATTCAAATTCAAATTCAAATTTTATTTGTCACGTACACAGTCATACACAGTACGATATGTAGTGAAATGCTTGGACAACTGCTCGTGACCTAAAGAAAACAAAAA